GCCTGAAGGCACTCGATTTATTGAAAGTCGTGTCTAATTCAAGGTGGGGAGGGGATCAAGCTACACTCCTACACCTTTACAGATCACTTGTCCGCTCGAAGCTTGATTACGGCTCTATCGTATATGGTGGGGCCTGTAAAAGCAACCTCAAACTACTTGATTCTATCCATCACCAGGGTCTAAGACTTTGTCTTGGGTCTTTCAGAACCTCTCCCATTGACAGTCTCTACGTTGAGGCCGATGAGCCATCTTTAAAACTTCGCCGTATCAAATTGTCCCTACAATATATCACAAAGTTATATTCTAATGAATCCAATCCTGCTCACACTTGCGTTTTTAATCCTCTTTATGAGGATTTGTATAATAAAAAACCTTCACTTGTCCCACCTCTTGGGATAAGAATCCAACAATATATTTCTGCTGCTGGCATTGAGTTGGAGAATATATCTCCTTCCCGTCTTCTTTCTTCTCCTCCTTGGCAATTGGATTTAGGCCACAAGTCGACCTAACACTCACTAAATTTAAAAAATCAGAAACTAATGACTTACAATATAAACAAGAATATAATCAATTAAAAAGTAAATATAATACATATAAATCCGTATTTACAGATGGGTCCAAGGATGGTGGCGCGGTTGCTTGTGCCACTGTCATTGGGTCCAAAACAATATCTTCCAGATTACCCACTGCCAGTTCCATTTTCACAGCTGAAGCAAACGCAATCCTAACAGCTCTTAAATATATAAATAGACACCCTAAATATAAACAATACATAATCTTTTCTGACTCTCTGTCTTGCCTTCAGGCGATTAAAAATATTTCTTGTAAACATCCACTTTTAATAGAAATTATAGAATTATATAATGATCTTGCAACTGGCCAATGCGACATCGTCCTCTGTTGGTTACCCAGTCACGTTGGTATTTCTGGGAATACCATGGCCGATCTTGCTGCAAAGGCAGCACTCAACAAATCTGTGACACCACTTCTTATTCCTTACTCTGATTATAAAGCAAGCATTAGAACCTACATCCGTGATCTGATGCAGAAGAAGTGGGACACCCAAGTAGGTATAAATAAATTACATGAAATAAACCCCTATATTGGTTACACCTACTTGGGTTGTCAGTCCAGATTTGAAGAGGTCATCATACGACGATGTCGTATTGGCCACACACGATATACTCATGAGTACCTATTAAAGGTGAGGATCCTCCGTTTGTATCCCTTGTGATGAAAGAATCACGGTCAAGCATGTACTGCTTGACTGTGTTGAATATTCCATCACAAGGGATATTTATTTCAAAGTAAAACTATGAAGGATCTTTTTAATCATATAAGTTCTCATTTAATTATTGCCTTTTAAAAAAATTAGACTTGCTAACTGATTTGTAAATAGATATATATTTTATTATTGGTAGTTTAAATTAGTAACTGAGATTGTTAGTGGCTGTACCCTCAAAGGGGTTTGAAGTAGCGTAAAATTATTGTCCTCCTGAGAGGGTACGTAAGTCCCAAAGCATTCAAACTAAATTTAAATATACCATTAGTTTTAATCGTAGAATATGTGTTATTTTAACTTATGGCTAATTTGTCAAAACTTGCTCACGGCTGAAGGGATGGTGTAAATCCAGCTAGGGTCCATGCAGGAAGCAAATGTACTGTAAGTCCCCATGGTCCCTAGTATGGTGATCTACCTTCAGTTGTTAGCGATCTATAGCCCATTTTTATATTGTGTTGTCCCCCATAGTTATAGTGTTTTAGATTCAATTACTAGTTTTACATATATATCTGTGATAATCTAGTTATTTTACTGTCCTTCGTTGGCAGAATTTTATAATTTCACTTAAATTGTTGATATATTTATAACTTGCTTTAGTCACGATATGGCTGAAATATTGCCGATGTGACTTAAAATCTTAACTCACTCACTCAATTGAAGAGGTCATTATGCGACGATGTCGCATTGGCCATACCAGATATACTCATGAATATTTATTGAAAGGCGAAGATCCTCCGTTTTGTATCCCTTGTGATGAAAGGATCACAGTCAAGCATGTCTTGCTTGACTGCATTGAATATTCCATCACAAGGGATAAGTATTTTAATGTCAAAACATTGAAGGATCTTTTTAATAATGTTAGTTCTCATTTAGTTATTGCCTTTTTAAACGAATTAGATTTGTTAACAGATTTGTAAATAGCTAAATATTTTATTATTGGAAGTTTGAATTAGTAACATAGATTGTTAGTGGCTGTATCCTCGAGGGGGGTTAAAGTACTGTAAAATTATTGTCCTCCTGAGAGGGTACGTAAGTCCCAAAACATTCAAAGTCAATTTCAACTTTCCGTTTTTAATCGTAGAATATTTGTAATTTTAATGTATGGCTAGATATGTCTTAATTGCTAACGGCTGAGGGGATGATATAAATCCAGCTAGGGCCCATGCAGGAAGCAAATGTACTGTAAGTCCCCATGGTCCCTAGTATGGTGATCTACCTTCTGTTGTTAGCGATCTATAGCCCATTTTTAGATTGTGTTGTCCCCTATGGTTAAAATGTTTTAGATTCAATTACTAGTTTTACATATATATATCTGTGATAAACTAGTTGCTTTACTGTCCTTCGATGACAGGTTTTATAATATATACATATTCCATTACAATGTAAGATGTTCTCGTCACGATATGGCTGAAATATTGCCGATGTGACGTTAAATATTAACTCACTCACTCACTCACTCACTGTATGGCCGTGTTTGTGACTGTGTTATGTGTGTCTCTATGTCTCTGTATGGCTGTGTTATGTGTGTCTATATGTCTCTGTGTGGCTGGGTTTGTGACTGTGCTATGTGTGTCTCCATGTCTCTGTGTGGCCGTGTTTGTGACTGTGTTATGTTTGTTTCTATGTCTCTGTGTGACTGTGTTATGTGTGTCTCCATGTGTCTGTGTGGCCGTGTTTGTGACTGTGTTATGTTTGTTTCTATGTCTCTGTGTGACTGTGTTATGTGTGTCTCCATGTCTGTGTGGCCGTGTTTGTGACTGTGTTATGTGTGTTTCTATGTCTCTGTATGTCTGTGTTATGTGTGTCTATATGTCTCTGTGTGGCTGTGTTTGTGACTGTGTTATGTGTGCCTCCATGTCTCGGTGTGGCTGTGTTATGTGTGTCTCTATGTCTCTGTGGCCGTGTTTGTGACTGCGTTATGTGTGTTTCTATGTCTCTCTGTGTGGCTGTGCTATGTGTGTCTCTATGTCTCTGTGTGGCCGTGTTTGTGACTGTGTTATGTTTGTCTCTATGTCTCTGTGTGGCTGTGTTTGTGACTGTGTTATGTGTGTCTCCATGTCTCTGTGTGGCCGTGTTTGTGACTGTGTTATTTGTGTCTCCATGTCTCTGTGTGGCCGTGTTGGCCGTGTTTGTGACTGTGTTATTTGTGCCTCCATGTCTCGGTGTGGCTGTGTTATGTGTGTCTCTATGTCTCTGTGGCCGTGTTTGTGACTGCGTTATGTGTGTTTCTATGTCTCTCTGTGTGGCTGTGTTATGTGTGTCTCTATGTCTCTGTGTGGCCGTGTTTGTGACTGTGTTATGTTTGTCTCTATGTCTCTGTGTGGCTGTGTTTGTGACTGTGTTATGTGTGTCTCTATGTCTCTGTGTGGCTGTGTTATGTGTGTCTCCATGTCTCTGTGTGGCTGTGTTATGTGTGTCTCTATGCCTCTGTGTGGCCGTGTTTGTGACTGTGTTATGTTTGTCTCTTTGTCTCTGTGTTGCTGTGTTTGTGACTGTGTTATGTGTGTCTCTATGTCTCTGTGTGGCTGTGTTATGTGTGTCTCTATGTCTCTGTGTTATGTGTGTCTCTATGTCTCTGTGTGGCTGTGTTATGTGTGTCTATATGTCTCTGTGTGGCTGTGTTTGTGACTGTGTTATGTGTGTCTCTATGCCTCTGTGTGGCTGTGTTATGTGTGTCTCCATGTCTCTGTGTGGCCGTGTTTGTGACTGTGTTATGTGTATTTCTATGTCTCTGTGTTGCTGTGTTATGTGTGTCTCTATGTCTCTGTGTGGCTGTGTTTGTGACTGTGTTATGTGTGGCTCTATGCCTCTGTGTGGCTGTGTTATGTGTGTCTCCATGTCTCTGTGTGGCCGTGTTTGTGACTGTGTTATGTGTGTCTCTATGCCTCTGTGTGGCTGTGTTATGTTTGTCTCTTTGTCTCTGTGTGGCCGTGTTTGTGACTGTGTTATGTTTGTGTCTATGTTTCTGTGTGGCTGTGTTTGTGACTGTGTTATGTGTGTTTCTATGTCTCTGTGTGGGTGTGTTTGTGACTGTGTTATGTGTGTCTCTATGTCTCTGTGTGGCTGTGTTATGTGTGTCTCTATGTCTCTGTGTGGCTGTGTTTGTGACTGTGTTATTTGTGTCTCTGTGTGACTGTGTTTGTGACTCTGTTATGTGTGTCTCCATGTCTCTGTGTGGCCGTGTTTGTGACTGTGTTATTTGTGTCTCTGTGTGACTGTGTTTGTGACTGTGTTATTTATGTCTCTATGTCTCTGTGTGGCTGTGTTTGTGACTGTGTTATGTTTGTCTCTATGTATCTGTGTGGCCGTGTTTGTGACTGTGTTATGTTTGTCTCTATGTCTCTGTGTGGCTGTGTTTGGATTTCTTGTGAGTAGGATACACCCTTTCAGTTTTCTAATCAGTGAAATCTCGCTTCTCGATGTTGTGTGATCTCTCGATAACCTATCAAATTCTTGTGTATCGAAAACACATGCAGTTGTAGTTATATATTGTCCACTGGATTATATGGGTTTTTTTATCTGGATGTTAAAACCAGACCCTGTAAAACACAATATCTGTGAGAGCCGAAACTTGTTGCCTCTAAGCATATAGAACATGGGAATTGTCTGGCATTACACCTAACACAACTGAATGCTTAGTCAACCAATGGCCAATGGTTCACAATTTCATGCATGTGATTGGACTCGATCTATTTCTATCGACTGAGTTGCATTTCAGGAATTTAGTAGTCCTTCGGTGACTATAGTCAAGGCAACAGTAACACCTGACATGATGGTGGCCTTCCCTCTAGACCGAACAGTTCTCCAAGCAACACTTAAGATTACAACAGAGGACAGAGCGACGCCCGTGTATAAACTATATAAACCTAATGGTAAAGCCCATTTACTTCTATTTAATATTGTTATAATATTTTCACTAATATTATTCTTTACAAAACGGATCTTGAGTGATTTAAGAAATTCAATTATTTAATTGGTCGACCATTACAGACACCATGATATCATGTCACAAAACGTCAGCTGAAAGGTAACAATTGGTTTTAATTGACACAGAAATATCTTTTCCCAAACTAGGTTTTTGTAATGTGTGGATTCCTAGTTCTTAATATGCATCACTGGTGGAATTGTACGAGGCTTTTATCAGCTGTGAATATCATACATCCCTGTCGGTTGCTGAACTCCGTTTTCCTCTACATCCTCATGTAACGAATGATATCCACACCAATACCTGGTGGTTGTTTCTGATTGTGGTCCCATGTGTTTTCAGATATTGAGGCTACGTCAAACGTAAAGGACTTTGGCGATGGAATCCATGTGGTCAAGATTCAGGTATGCAGCAGAAACTGACCAATATTTATATTCTAACGCGTTAACCTAGTGTTCTACAGTGCCATTGATTATACAAAATACCTGTAGGGCTTTGATATTCAATTATCTGAACATTATCGGGTAGAAAAGTGACTTTTTACTTCTCTTCACATGCGCGTTGGTGTCAGTATTCATATATACTGAGTTAACAAAGAAACTTCACAAAATGTAATTTGAAAAATAATGAATAATTTTTCTCTGATGATACATCTATGTATCCGAAATGGGATCCCTATCTTTCGACTCTAGAAAAATGTTAGCAAAACCCACTCAAACCCATCTATTCGTCGTGGAAATGGCGTTAGTGCCAAATCAGGTTTTGCACGTGCAGTCGATCACGTGATCTTCGCATCGGAGTTCTTCATATGCACGTGTTTGCATTGGCCTCAAGAATTGAAAAAAACACTTTTAAACCACAGTTCTAACGGTACTTGAAATGCATGTTGGCATGTTGCAAACGGGAAGATCAGTTATTGACGTCGCAAGAGCAATGGGATGCAGCCGTCATACTGTGTATGACTTGCGAGGTCGTCTACAACAAACTGGCACCACTTCTGATCGCCCAAGGTCGGGTCGTCCACGTGTGACGTCACGAGCAGAAGACCGTCAAATCTTCCTACGTCACCTACGTGACAGATTTCTGCCGGCTACACGAATCAGGGCTGAGATGTTTAGAGGTCGACTGTCCTCACAGACCATTCGAAATCGGTTGCGGGCTACCGATCTCCATTCTCGACGTCCATATCGTGGGCCAATATTGACGCCGTTTCATCAATGTCAACGTCTGTTGTTGGCCCAACGTCACCTCCGATGGACCCAGAGAGACTGGAATCGAGTCGTCTTTAGTGATGAATCCAGGTTTACCCTCAGATTCGCGGACGGCAGGCATAGAGTCTGGAGACGACGTCGTGAACGGTATGCCCAATGTTGTGTGCAGGAAGTCGACAGATTCAAGGGCGGAAGTTGCATGGTGTGGGGTGCTTTCTGTGGGAACAACCGTTCTGGCGCAGAATCCCCAACCACGTGTTCACAAGCATCAGGCAGTCGATGAGGAGACGGTGTTTGGCAATGGTGAATGCGCGGGGCGGCCACACACGATATTGATCTGAGCAATTTCGCATTTTTATTCTTGTGACTGGATATTCTGTATACCCATGTTTTGGAACCGCGGTGTAGCCCAATGGAAATGATTATGGCACTGTCAGTGTATCGAGTACATCACACAGATCTCAGCAATGAAATAATAACAATTTAACCATCTTACCATCTCTTGTTCTTTTATAATGCCCTGAAGAAAAGATGTGAAGTTTCTTTTTTGACTCAGTATATTTTCATACTGTATGACGCAAGTAAAAAGAGATTCTCCAGAGTGAGTGATTGAGTTAAAAATTTACGTTACATCGGCAATATTCCAGCCATATCGTGACGACATAAATCATATATTGAGAATAGATATATTGATAGATTCTCCAGAAAAAAACAATAATTAAGCATTTATAGACCTGACACAGACTTATGATGTTTAATCTTATGACTTGTTGACGTATCATCTATGGGTGTAGATGCGCCTTAGTCTAGTCAGTTGTACCCGACTGAAGCAACGCATTCCACACACTCATTTAATCTAAATGTATACTTACCCTTACCTTAGATAAGAGAAAACGCCCAATGAAAATAACCATTTGCTGTATGCCGTGTCTTCTCACCAGAGCAATATTTGTAGGTTTAGAATTGTTCGCCGAAGCGCCATGCAACATGCCTTTGAACATGTGATAAGATAAGTCAGGTCAGTCTAACACCAAGGTGACAACGGACTGCACGTTCGATAACCGTGACCAAGCTTTACCAATTACAGTCATTGAGTGTGCGATGGTGTGGTCATTTGCACGTACGAATCGTGGTAAATCATTTGGTTTTAGATCTACTACCAGCTTTGGCCTAAAAGAACAGTACTTGCATTGCTATCTTATGTTGAATAAGTTGCCAATGTTTCCTAAGTATGGGATGTTCTGACTCGTGGTTTGATCAACCCAATTAAAAAGAGTGACACCGCTCCCAGTGACCCTTAGGCTTCATTTATATTCAACATTCATGGACGTTTCAGACCCCAACAACGGGCGTATGGAGACTAGCCCGCCTGGGTTCCACAACCTGGGACGTGGAGGTGACAGCTCAGAGTACCCTGGACGTATCTACAACATTTGTGAAGCTGGACCCCATCTCCGGGTTTGAGTATGAGATCAGCGGACGACCTATAGCAGGTTTGTAAGTGGTCACGCATGACAGTGACAAGATACACGTCTTCGCCTCCTTCAACACATCCCAAGGCCCTACACCTCCTTGAACTCTTCCATGTCCCCCTACACCTTCTTGTGTGTTGAGAGACAGATTGGGTCTGTGATGATGTGGGCATATGGCATGTGTAGAGAGACAGATTGGGTCCGTGATGGTGTGGGCATATGACGTGCATTGAGAGACAGGTTGGAAGGTGAGTACGTGATGGTGTGGGCATATGGCGTGTGTAGAGAGACAGACTGGGTCCGTGATGGTGTGGGCATTTGGCAAGTGTTGCGAGACAGATTGGGTCCGTGATAGTGTGGGCATATGGCGTGTGTTGAGAGACAGATTGGGTCCGTGATGGTGTGGGCATTTGGCGTGTGTAGAGAGACAGATTGGGTCCGTGATGGTGTGGGCATATGGCATGTATAGAGACAGATTGGGTCCGTGATGGTGTGGGCATTTGGCATGTGTAGAGAGACAGATTGGGTCCGTGATGGTGTGGGCATATGGCATGTGTAGAGAGACAGATTTGGTCCGTGATGGTGTGGGCATATGACGTGTATTGAGAGAGATGTTGGAAGGTGAGTACGTGATGGTGTGGGCATATGGCATCGGTTGAGAGACATGTTGGAAGGTGAGTCCGTGATGGTGTGGGCATATGGCATGTGTAGAGAGACAGACTGCGTCCTTGATGGTGTGGGCATTTGGCAAGTGTTGAGAGACAGATTGGGTCCGTGATGGTGTGGGCATATGGCATGTGTAGAGAGACAGATTGAGTCCGTGATGGTGTGGGCATTTGATATGGGTAGAGATACAGATTGGGTCCGTGATGGTGTGGGCATATGGCATGTGTAGAGAGACAGACTGGGTCCGTGATGGTGTGGGCATATGCCATGTGTAGAGAGACAGATTTGGTCCGTGATGGTGTGGGCATATGGATGTGTAAAGAGACAGATTGGGTCCGTGATGGTGTAGAGAGACAGATTGGGTCCGTGATGGTGTGGGCATATGGCGTGTGTTGAGAGACAGATTGGGTCCGTGATGGTGTGGGCATATGACGTGTATTGAGAGACAGGTTGGAAGGTGAGTACGTGATGGTGTGGGCATTTGGCGTGTGTTGAGAGACAGTTTTGGTCCGTGATGGTGTGGGCATATTGCGTCTGTTGAGAGACAGTTTTGGTCCGTGATGGTGTGGGCATATTGCGTCTGTTGGGAGACAGATTGGGTCCTTGATGATGTGGGCATATGGCATGTATTGAGAGACATGTTGGAAGGTGAGTCCGTGATGGTGTGGGCATTTGGCATGTGTAGAGAGACAGATTGGGTCCGTGATGGTGTGGGCATATGGCATGTGTAGAGAGACAGATTGGGTCCGTGATGGTGTGGGCATATGACGTGTATTGAGAGACAGGTTGGAAGGTGAGTACGTGATGGTGTGGGCATTTGGCATGTGTAGAGAGACAGATTGGGTCCGTCATGGTGTGGGCATATGACGTGTATTGAGAGACAGGTTGGAATTTGAGTCCGTGATGGTGTGGGCATATGGCGTGTGTTGAGAGACAGACTGGGTCCCTGATGGTGTGGGCATTTGGCATGTGTAGAGAGACAGATTGGGTCCGTGATGGTGTGGGCATATGACGTGTATTGAGAGACATGTTGGAAGGTGAGTACGTGATTGTGTGGGCATTTGGCATGTGTAGAGAGACAGATTGGGTCCGTGATGGTGTGGCCATATGACGTGTATTGAGAGACATGTTGGAATTTGAGTACGTGATGGTGTGGGCATTTGGCATGTGTAGAGAGACAGATTGGGTCCGTGATGGTGTGGGCATTTGGCACGTGTAGAGAGACAGATTGGGTCCGTGATGGTGTGGGTATATGACGTGTATTGAGAGACATGTTGGAAGGTGAGTACGTGATGGTGTGGGCATTTGACATGTGTATAGAGACAGATTGGGTCCGTGATGGTGTGGGCATATGACGTGTATTGAGAGACATGCTGGAAGGTGAGTACGTGATGGTGTGGGCATTTGGCATGTGTAGAGAGACAGATTGGGTCCGTGATGGTGTGGGCATTTGACATGTGTAGAGAGATAGATTGGGTCCGTGATGGTGTGGGCATATGACGTGTATTGAGACATGTTGGAAGGTGAGTACGTGATGGTGTGGGCATTTGGCATGTGTAGAGAGACAGATTGGGTCCGTGATGGTGTGGGCATTTGACATGTGTAGAGAGACAGATTGGGTCCGTGATGGTGTGGGCATATGGCATGTGTAGAGAGACAGTTTTGGTCCGTGATGGTGTGGGCATATGGCATGTGTAGAGAGACAGATTGGGTCGTGATGGTCTGGGCGTTTGGCATGTGTAGAGAGACAGATTGGGTCCGTGATGGTGTGGGCATTTGGCATGTGTAGAGAGACAGATTGGGTCCGTGATGGTGTGGGCATATGGCATGTGTAGAGAGACAGATTGGGTCCGTGATGGTGAAGACATATGGCATGTGTAGAGAGACAGATTGGGTCGTGATGGTCTGGGCATTTGGCATGTGTAGAGAGACAGATTGGGTCCGTGATGGTGTGGGCATATGGCGTGTGTTGAGACACAGGTTGGAATGTGAGTCCGTGATGGTGTGGGCATATGGCGTGTGTTGAGAGACAGATTGGGTCCGTGATGATGTGGGCATTTGGCACGTGTAGAGAGACAGATTGGGTCCGTGATGGTGTGGGCACATGACGTGTATTGAGAGACAGGTTGAGAGGAGTCCGTCATGGTGGGCATATGGCGTGTGTTTGAGAGACAGTTTTGGTCCGTGATGGTGTGGGCATATTGCGTCTGTTGAGAGACAGATTGGGTCCGTGATGATGTGGGCATATGGCATGTGTAGAGAGACAGGTTGGAAGGTGAGTCCGTGATGGTGTGGGCATTTGGCATGTGTAGAGAGACAGATTGGGTCCGTGATGGTGTGGGCATTTGCCATGTGTAGAGAGACAGATTGGGTCCGTGATGGTGTGGGCATATGACGTGTATTGAGAGACATGTTGGAAGGTGAGTACGTGATGGTGTGGGCATATGGCGTGTGTTGAGAGACACATTGGGTCCGTGAAGGTGTGGGTATATGACGTGAATTGAGAGACAGGTTGGAATTGGAGTACGTGATGGTGTGGGCATATGGCATCTGTTGAGAGACAGGTTGGAAGGTGAGTCCGTGATGGTGTGGGCATATAGCATGTGTAGAGAGACAGATTGGGTCCGTGATGGTGTGGGCATTTGGCAAGTGTTGAGAGACAGATTGGGTCCGTGATGGTGTGGGCATATGACGTGTATTGAGAGACATGTTGGAAGGTGAGTACGTGATGGTGTGGGCATTTGGCATGTGTAGAGAGACAGATTGGGTCCGTGATGGTATGGGCATATGACGTGTATTGAGAGACAGGTTGAGAGGAGTCCGTCATGGTGGGCATATGGCGTGTGTTTGAGAGACAGTTTTGGTCCGTCATGGTGTGGGCATATGGCATGTGTAGAGAGACAGATTGGGTCCGTGATGGTGTGGGCATATGGCATGTAGAGGACAGATTGGAAGGTGAGTCCGTGATGGTGTGGGCATTTGGCATGTGTAGAGACAGATTGGGTCCGTGATGGTGTGGGCATATGGCATGTGTAGAGAGACAGATTGGGTCCGTGATGGTGTGGGCATATGGCATGTGTAGAGAGACAGATTGGGTCGTGATGGTGTGGGCATTTGGCATGTGTAGAGAGGCAGACTGGGTCCGTGATGGTGTAGAGAGACAGATTGGGTCCATGATGGTGTGGGCATATGGCGTGTGTTGAGACACAGGTTGGAATGTGAGTCCGTGATGGTATGGGCATATGGCGTGTGTTGAGAGACAGATTGGGTCCGTGATGGTGTGGGCATTTGGCACGTGTAGAGAGACAGATTGGGTCCGTGATGGTGTGGGCATATGACGTGTATTGAGAGACAGGTTGGAATTTGAGTCCGTGATGGTGTGGGCATATGGCGTGTGTTGAGAGACAGTTTTGGTCCGTGATGGTGTGGGCATATTGCGTCTGTTGAGAGACATGTTGGAAGGTGAGTACGTGATGGTGTGGGCATTTGGCATGTGTAGAGAGACAGATTGGGTCCGTGATGGTGTGGGCATTTGGCATGTGTAGAGAGACAGATTGGGTCCGTGATGGTGTGAGCATATGACGTGTATTGAGAGACATGTTGGAAGGTGAGTACGTGATGGTGTGGGCATTTGGCATGTGTAGAGAGACAGATTGGGTCCGTGATGGTGTGGGCATATGGCATGTGTAGAGAGACAGATTGGGTCCGTGATGGTGAGGGCATATGGCATGTGTAGAGAGACAGATTGGGTCGTGATGGTCTGGGCATTTGGCATGTGTAGAGAGACAGATTGGGTCCGTGATGGTGTGGGCATATGGCGTGTGTTGAGACACAGGTTGGAATGTGATTCCGTGATGGTGTGGGCATATGGCGTGTGTTGAGAGACAGATTGGGTCCGTGATGGTGTGGACATTTGGCACGTGTAGAGAGACAGATTGGGTCCGTGATGGTGTGGGCATATGACGTGTATTGAGAGACAGGTTGAGAGGTGAGTCCGTCATGTTGTGGGCATATGGCGTGTGTTGAGAGACAGTTTTCGTCCGTGATGGTGTGGGCATATTGCGTCTGTTGAGAGACAGTTTTGGTCCGTGATGGTGTCGGCATATTGCGTCTGTTGAGAGACAGATTGGGTCCGTGATGATGTGGGCATATGGCATGTGTAGAGAGACAGGTTGGAAGGTGAGTCCGTGATGGTGTGGGCATTTGGCATGTGTAGAGAGACAGATTGGGTCCGTGATGGTGTGGGCATTTGGCATGTGTAGAGAGACAGATTGGGTCCGTGATGGTGTGGGCATATGACGTGTATTGAGAGACATGTTGGAAGGTGAGTACGTGATGGTGTGGGCATATGGCGT